AAAAAAAAAAAAAGAAAAAAACAAACTGGGTTTGCAATAGCAAAAGTATTTGAAGCAATCGGTAATTCAATCAGCTCAACCTAACACTCAAACAAATTGTAAAGCAAGCATAAACTAAGGTGTATTTTCTAACTTTGGAGTCCCTTTTGTGTTTTGAGTTATAATTTAGCCACAACTCAAGAACAGTTCCGAATTTATCCCATAAATTTATGAACCCATAACACCAAAAAATGCACATACATCACGTATCAAAGAAATTACACACACATCCTCACCATCTGCAGAGCCATCACTCTTCTTCAGATACCTATTTATCTCCATCGCATTCAGAAGCGGGCCCGCCGTAGAATCTGACGTCCTCGCAAATCCAAAAGACAAAACAAACGGCAGCGTGATGTTGTAATAACCCGGCTCGTACAAACGGTATTTTCCCTGCGCATTTTCTTGAATGTTCACTACAGCCTTGCTGAGATCAGGGGCCCCCGGAAGAACCAACCTGAACTTTCGGGCCTCACCCGGGCCCAAATCCTCGATTTCTGCAAAGTAAGTGAAGGCCCAACCAGGCCCAGGAAACCCGTCAAGGTTCATGCGGTATGTGAGCGACCCGTTTCGGCCCACGACAGCTGTCTGCATGACTTTCTCGGGCGGCATCTCGTCTCGGCTCACGTCTATGGGCATTCGGGTCGATATTTTCTCAGTTCCATCAGCAACATCGACAAGGTAGTTTGCTTTTCTTATTGAGTCGGATAGCCATATTCTATCAAACGGGTCATCTGGGTACCTGCAAAATATTTCCTTTTTTTCATCTTTTTTGTTTTAACAAAAACAATGATATTTAAGAAGTACCAACCAATAGCAGTATACACAACAAGCTTGGGGAGAAGCTAAACATTGAACTTATTGGTCGAGAGTGCTCGGTAAATAAGGTGAAGTCAAACCGAAAACAGAATTAGAAATCTAAGGTAAGTTACAACTGGAGATGAATATTTTTTTCACTGCACCAGATAAAATCTTCTGCCCATGAA